CGAACCCCTGGACTGGGAGTCGCGGGTTGTGGATGCCGGCGTCTCCGCCGCTTCGTCCGGAAGAACGGAGATCGGCGCCTGCCGTTCTCACTTCTCAAGTCCCCTGACCTTGGCTGAGTTCCTGGTGTTTTCTCTTAGGCTTGAGCCATGCACACCCCTTTCCCTGCCGGGGGAGGAGAGGTGAAGGCCACGTCCGCGTTTCCTCTCCGTAGTAGCCTCCGAATGGGACCAGACCCACGACAGGCCAAGAATGAACTCTCCGCAGTAACCCCAGGCAGGCGCCCCGAACAGGGGGAAGTAAGGAAGGGGGTGCGGGTGGGGGCGGGAGGAGGGCAAAAAATAGCAACGGAGGTGTTTAAACCTGCAGAGGAGGTTTTAAAAACACAGTGCGGAGCCCTCGTCCAACCGCTGCCTCGCAGTGGGGGAGAAAGCGCCGCGGGCACCGGGGGCAGGGCACTTCTTGGCCTAATGGAGACCGGGCTGCTTTGCAGAACGTGTAGCATCGCTGCTTCCACCTGCGTTAAATGCCGGTAGCACCTCCCCACCTTTGTGCTGACCAAAGATGCCTCCACCTATGTCCACATACGCTTTAGAGATTGAGGTGCCTCCTTTCCTAAACTACATTCTGAAAGATATTAGCTAGTTCCTTGAGATGTAAGTGGGTATGCTATGAAAAGAGACCATGGTCAGTGTTATGCCATGGTTGGGAAATGGTGGGTTTAAAAAAAGGGACAGAATTTCTCGAGTACAGGACTTCTCAGAGCCTTTAATATGGGATTGTCGAAAGTAGGTTTACACTTGTAATATGAATAAATAACTCAATAATTAATAATATAAGAATAAACTGATCCACGTACTCACAACTATAAATCTATACTTTTGCCCACCCCTTTTATAAACACGTGTTTTCAGTCATTAAGACTTCCCAATCTAATTGACAATAGAACTCTTTCTTTTGAGGGTTCTCGTTGGGTGGACACAACTTTGATAAGTCTTAAGTAAGTCTTCAATAAGTCCCCTGGGGACTTCCGTGTCCTCCACCACGCGGAGCACAGGGGTGTATGCTCAGAATGCCCGGACGTTTTTACTAAACTGAAACGGCTTCAGAACTCTGGCAAACCAGAATGCGTGAAGCTACCAGGAAGGAGGCCAGAGTGCCGGGTACCACCGCAGAGATGACCTCACAAAGAAACCAGTGTGCTGGGGATCCTGGGGCACTCAGGCGGGCGCCCTGCTCCTGAGGAGGAGCAGGCTGATGGCGCCTCTGGCTTTTATGGTTCAGGGAAACTAAAATAGCCCGGGGGGTTCGAAGAGAAGTATGTATGGATGAAATTTTTCATGACACATGGATTGGAGGTCCCCTTCCTGCCGGCCTGGCAGCCTCTGGGTGGAAAGCCTTGTTGGGGAGAAGTGTCCCGGCAGCTCTGGTGAGAGGCTGGAAATGAAACATAAATCCAGGCAGATATAATGGCAGCGAGTCCCAGTGAACCGACAGCCACCAGCAGGTGCTCAGCAGGGAAGCTGAAGCCAGAACGTTCACTGAGCTGAGCAAGGAGCAGGACCATCCTGTTGTACGAAACACAAAGAGCAGAGTGTTCAGGTCCAAGGATCACATTTCTCAGCATTGAAGCCTGAGCTCTGCATGGTGAGTTTCAGGCTTTGCTCAAGGTCAGGTGGACAAAAACCTGCCTATTCCCACCGAGGAGGACGCCATCCAAACACACCCGTTCCTCCCAGGGCATGGGCAGGGGGCCAGGGCTGACGGAGATCTGCCAGTTCCCGTGAAAAACTGGGTGAGCAGCTGGTGGCAGAGTCCCAGCACCTCACCCACACCCTCCTAGGCTTGTGAATCTGGCTTCTGCCATTCAAGGGTGCCCTGTGCTAGTGAAATTTCTCTCTGAGCTGTTGACTCCTGAATTTTTCCAGTTTGACCTGACTGGCCTGTGCTTGAGGCCCTGAGTTCAAGATCACAGCTCCAAAGAAAGAGGAGAAAAAACACACAGTCCCCACTTCTGCAAGGCTGGCGGGCTCTGAGGGTTCGGCCTCAGCCTGCTAGGCAGCCCAGCGTGGTTTCATTTCATTTCTTCCTTTCTTTTTTGGGCCTGGGCAACATTTTTGCTCACAGGTCATTATTAAACTTGGATGACAGTAAACCAATGAGTAACTGGATAATTAAAGCCACAAGTCAAGAGGCCTGGGCGGGTCCCTCCTCTGGAATCTCTAGTGGCCTGTTCCATGGGCGAATGAAGTGCTCCTCACAGCAGAAGTGCTTTTATGAATTGAAAACCTTCTGTGGTGACCTCCACCTCCTCCCAAGGTCACTTCTCCACTTGTCCTTTGCTCCATCCCCTCGCCCACCGCCCCTGTCTACTGCAAGGAAGGAGGAAATCAAACCACACTCCCCACGGCTGCTGCCACCACAGGAACATGACAGAAGGTTTCCAACTAAAACCAAAGTTACTCAGCAGAGCTTCCTGCCAGGCTGCCGTGCCGGAGGGCATGCGCGCCTCCCTCCGCTCTTTCTGTTCTACACCAATTCTCTGCTTCAGTCGCTGGAGAGCCTCCCCGCTTCCTGGGAAGAGTGGCTGAGAACTTCAAAGCGGACAAGGCTGCCGCTGAGAAGACCCTGGCTTGCTTCAAAGGCTGTGTCTCCTCCCTGTCAGAAGCACTCAGTGAATGTTTCTCCCTCATTTCTGAGACAAAATGAAGAGCTGTTGGTGTTTACAAGGTCCCCAAGGACATTTCTGTATTTCTCCCCCTGAGTGGGCCCACGAGCCCCGACAGGAGGCTCCTGTCTGTGGCCGGCACCGTTTTGCTGTTTCTTCCCGCTCCGCTGCCCCTCCGCCAGGCCCTGCGTCCTCCCTCTTCCCCACGCGTGTCCTCCGCTCCTCTGTTCCCCCCCCCCCAACCCCTTACCTTAAGGAGCAGCCCCCATCCACTGAGGAAACATGTGTAAAGGAGGGTATGCAATTGGGGATGGGGTGAGCTATGTGGTTTTCTATGTTATTCCAGAATAGGTTTGTGGTTATTTTAATTTAAAAAAAAAAATCAATGTTCCCTCCAAATCTTTGAGAACATTTGATTCCAGGAGAGTGTGAGCCACGGCCAGCCTGTGGCTCCATGCTCTCCTGGCACTTGGCAGGCTGTGGCTGACCCCTAGATAGAAGGACCCAACATTCCCTTTTTAACAAGAATCTCTTTCCAACAAACTGTGAAACTCTAGAGGGCAGGGGTTCTCTGACAATGAATTTCATGGTCTTATGACAGTGCCTGGAAAGGAATAAGTGTTCTCAGGTGATTCGTGTTTGTTGGATTACAATGATTCCTTAAAAAAAAAATTAAAGTCGCTCTATTCTCAAGATGCGTGTGACAGTGTTTAGGCCACGTGCATGTTGAAAAATTGCACATATATTGTCTATATCTCATATCACTGGGAACTAATGTTGCCAAACCTCTTGTCTCAGCCACCATTTTATTATCTGTGTTCAGCAGACTCAGATGTAGCAAACCAGAAGAGACTTTAGGAGACATGCAGACTGATGAGGGTATTTGAGACAAAGAAAACCAATGGAGTTCTACGGCAAAGTGTAAAGTGGAAAGATGGTCATGCTGTGAAGTGGCCTCAAGCCTCAGTCCTGTCCTCGAGGTCACCATCCGCCTCAAGGGCCAGGGCACATGCTCACCGTCAGCCTCTCTACTGGGGTGGGACTTCCTGGTCGGTCAGACCCGAGGGAGGCGGCGGAGGAAGGGGTGTGGGTGAGCTCAGCGAGGCAGATGAAAGCGTAGCTCACACCCGGAGCGGCACAGGGAGCTGGCTTAGGATAGAGGAAGATGCGGCGTGGAGCACCCCCTCTGCCGAGGTGGCTTTGTCCCCCAGACACACACTCCAACTAAAAAATAATAATTGTGCATAACTCTGAAGGCAGGTCCACACCTGTGTGAACATCCATACCCGTGAGTATGTGCTGCCAGATGTCTTTGTTCCTGAGGAGAAACATAAGCTACAAACATCACATTCCTTTTCAGTGTTGAATTACTACTGCTTGAAAAGTCAAAGGAAAACAGTGCAGTCAAACCATCTATTAACAGATACATTTAAGCGAGAACGGTGCAAGTTCCTGCCAGGTGCTGATGGCCAGTTTTCCAGAACAGAACTGTGTGCCGTTGAGGCCGTTAATAAGTATGATGACAACCACCAATTTGTTTATGTATTTATTTTAAAATATTGAAGCCCTCTGAGTTATGCATAGATCACTTACTTGAAATAATACCAAATAATGGCATTATGGTGACAGGGAGAACTCAACCACTTCCTGGCAATAACAAGTATTTCACTTTGTACTGCCTTTCTAAAGTTTAGAAGTCACTTTGAAATAAACTCTAAGGAAATCTTCCCTAGTCTCCCTTAAGTTTGCTGATCCCAGCAAGGGGATCATGGGCAGGATCCTCTGGGGTATATTCTGAGGAATGAGATTGAGTCCCGGTCCCTCATGCTATCTGTTGCCAACCATCCATGGCACTGGGCCTGGAGGGCTATGTGTTGGCGTAATGAGCCATCTGGCCACCTGGCAGAAGAATCCCATGGGAACAGGTGTCTGGGATGTTACTGACATTACCGCTGACCTTTGCCAAGGAGTCGGTTTGATTTTACCTTGAATGGCACAGCCTAGAGGTCAGGATGGATCTTTTTGGTCCAGGATACTTTCAAGGACAAGGCTCAAAATTCTTAACCACCAAATTGAATATGTTCTTGAGCAGTGGGGCCAGTGTTGCACCTGGGATGTTCTGGGAGCTCATCCTGCCCACGTCTCTCCCCATTCACAACGCCCTGACAAATCACAATGGCAGGGCCAACACTTGGCTCCTAGAGGCTGTTTTTTGTTTGTTTGTTTAACATCAACCAAATCAGGTTTATTATTTTTTTTATTGATTGATTACACTATTACAGTTGTCTCAGTTTTTGCCCCTTTGCCCCCCTCCGCCCTGCACCCCCACTCCCTCTGGCAGTCCCACACCATTGTTCATGTCCACGGGTCATGCATATAAGTTCTTTGGTTGCTCCATTTTTTATACTGTACTTTACAACCCTGTGGCTGTTCTGTAATTACTTATTTGTACTTCTTAATCCATTCATGTCCTTACCCATTCCCCCTTATCTCACACCTCCATCTGGTAAACATCAAAATGCTCTCTATATCCATGGTTCTGTCTCTTCTTCTTTTTGCTTAGTTTGTTTTTTAGATTCAATTGTTGATAGATTTGTATTTTTTTTTTACCATTTTATTGTCCATAGTTTTGATCTTTTTCTTAAATAAGTCCCTTTAACATTTCATGTAATAATGGTTTGGTAATATGAACTCCTTTAGTTTTTTCTTATCTAGGAAGCACTTCATTTGCCCTTCGAAACTAAATGATAGCTTTGCTGGGTAGAGCAATCTCGGTTGTAGGTCCCTGTTTGTCATGACTTTGAATATTATTCTAGACCAGTCTAGCCTGCAAAGTTTTTTTGAGATATCAGCTAACAGTCTTATGGGAACTCTCCTATAGGTAACTAACTTCTTTTCTCTTGCTGCTTTTAAGTTTATTTTTAACTTTGGCATTTTAATTATGATGTGTCTTGGAGTGGGCCTCTTTGCATCCATCTTGTTTGGGACTGTCTGTGCTTCCTGGACTTACATGTCTATTTCCTTCACCAAATTAGGGAGGTTTTCTGTCATCATTTTTCAAATAGATTTCCAACTTCTTGCTCTTTCTCTTCTCCTCCTGGCACCCCTATGATGCAAATGTTGGAATGCTTAAAGTTGTCACAGAGGCTGATTACACTATCCTTGTTTTCTGAATATTCTCTTCTTCTTGTTCTGGTTGGTTGTTTTTTGCTTCCTTATGTTTCAAATCATCAATTTGATTCTCAGCTTCATTCTGCTATCGTTTCCCTGTAAATTGTTCTTTATTTCAATTAGTGTATTTTTCGTTTCTGACTAGATCTTTTTTATGCTCTTGAGGTCCTCACTAAGCTTCTTGAGCATCCTTATAACCAGTGTTTTGAGCTCTGCATCTGACAGATTGTTTATCTCCATTTTGTTTAGTTCTTTTTCTGGAGTTTTGATCTGTTCTTTCATTCAGGTCTTGTTTCTTTGTCTCCTCATTCTGGCAGCCTCCCTGTGTTTGTTTCTATGTATTAGGTAGAGTTGCTTTGACTTTGTGTCTTGGTAGTTGGCCTAATGCAGTAGGTGTCCTGTAGGGTCCGGTGGCACAGCCTTCCCTGTCACTCAAGCTGGGTACTTGAGGTTCACCTTGGGTGTGGGCTGAGTACACCCTCCTCTTGTAGTTGAGCCTTGGTTGCTGTTGGCAGATCAATGGGAGCGCTTTACCCAGGCCATCCACCTGCAAGGATTAGCTGTGACCACTGACCACCAACTTCTACCATCTGTGGAGGATCAGGTGTGCAGGGGCAGGGTGGTGGTGCTCTGACATAGTCTGTAGATGTCCACTGGGTGCACTGGCCATGGGGTTTCCTGGGTGGTGCAAACCAAGGTTAGCCCTCACCTATGTTTTGCCTTGGCTGCCCTTCCTAAGCCATAAAGCAATCTGAGATGGCTGCTACTTTTGCTGGGCTTGAAGATTCCCAGACAAAGCTAAGCTATGAATCTAGTCTGGCTGCTGCTAATGTTGGGCCTGGGGCCACTTAATAAGAAGTATGGGGTTGGGGGTTGAGATCGTCCATTGCTTGTTTGATAGGATTTAAGGAGTTGTGAAGCATGAGCAAAAATCAGCCATTCTTACAGAAAAATCACAGTTAACAGTGTGGGTAGGCTCCCAAGTTGGGTGTCATGAGGTCTCAGGGGACCTGCAAGGCAGGGGAAACAGTGTTAGCCAGGTTGATAGTGTTACAGACATGGCACCCACCTGCTGGCTCTGTAGTTCTATTAGGGGAGGGCTCAACAAAGGGACAAGGGCCTCTGCCTGCCTTTCTGCCTGAGAGAAAACTGTCTCCCAGCTCCCACATTGATGGCAGACACTTCAGTTCCTCCCTGTGTGCCACTGGTGCCTTCCAAGCTGCCACCCCAATGCCAGAGCTCAGAGGGAGTGAGTCTGAGGAAATCCTTGCGTGGGCTCTTGAAGAGGAACTACTTGGGACTCCAGGAATGTCTTCCGCCAACTAAATCCCTGCTGGTTTTTGTAGCCAGAAGTTATGGGGACTTATCTTCCTGGCACTGGAACTTTGGGCTGGGGGACCAGGAGTGGGACTGGGACTCCTCACTCCCAAGATACCCCTCCCAATATTTTATCCACTGTATGTGGATCTGACACCAGCCTGTTCCACATCTCTGCCCCTCCTACCAGTCTGGACGGTTGTTGTTTCTTTAATTCTATAGTTGTCAGACTTCCAATCAAATCAATTTCTGATGTTTCTGAGTGACGGTGGTTCTATACTTTAGTTGTAATTTTGATGTGATTGTGTGAGGTGGGAAGCCATGTTTACCTATGCCACCATCTTGATCAGAAGTCCCTTTTTAAAAAAATACATGTTCATTTATTTTTTTAACAGAATGCCCTCTCCTCTCCTCCCCACAGCACACGTGCATGCTGCCCCCCTTCCTGCTTGGGTACCTGCGGGCAGTGAGGGAACACACTCCCCTGTTCTTTCTGCCACTCGGAGGGAGTCTAGACACATTTCCAGATTAAAGTCAGCCCTGGGAGCCACTGTGTAAAACATAAAAGCCTCCTCCCCATTCACTAAAGCCAAAGAATGTCAGGATTAAGCCATAATTGAAACTTTCAAAAGAAGAGCTAAAGGCAGCTTTAGCCTTAGCATTCCACAGTCCTGGGACAACTGGAGACACATGACCGAATTCCAAAGCTCATGTGAAGGAGACCTGCCTCAATAAGGCAAGGCCTGCTTGTCAAGATTCTTGACGTGCTTTTCAGACTCGAGGTTGACTCTGTGTCCCAGACCACGGCACAGTGGTGACAAGGCCCACATCTTCAGGAACAAGGCAGTGGATGACCACAGTCAGGGCCCAGCACTGCTGGCCCCAGAGAGCCCTATCTGCAGGCTCCAAAGCTGAACCAGCCAAGACACAGGTTTGTCCTGGAGCCCAAGCACAAGGGGCCGCCCTGGAGCAGGACGCTGGGCCACATTGGCTGCTCCCTGAAGTCACACACTGACTTTCTCCTGGGGGTCCACTATGAGGGCTGCCATTTTCTCTGGACTGAATAGTGTGGAATGTGCTGAAAGGGACTCCAGAGTCAGAAAACATCAGAGCTCTGTGAGCATCTTAGATAACATCTGCTCTGGGGTTACCAATTATGGCTGCTCTTCAGAATCACCTAGAACATGTTCAAAATATGGGTTCCCAGGCTGCAGCTCTCATATCTTTTGTCCCCAACACACACACACACACACACACACACACACACACACACACACACACACACCATACACAGTGATTCTCCTGAGCAGGCAGCTTTGGGAACCACTGATATTGTCCATAGTCTCACCTCTGTTTCTGAAATATAATCCCAGGTTACCTAACTTTTCCCAGGCCCCTCAGCTGGTTCGACAGGACTGGTCTCTTGACTGTAACCCAGGGCTTTTTCCACAGCACACCACCTCCTCCTGGGTGAGCTCACGAAGGGGCTTCCACACTACCCAGAGATTCTGAATGCGAAAGAGGGTCAGAAGCATAGTCTTTGTGCATGTAAAGTAACCCCAGGCAATTTCCCCATATTGGCTTCCGTTGTGGTTTATGACCCAGATGTCTCAGTTTCAAGTCATCTGAGCAGCAGATTCTGCTTCTGGCTCTATCATCACCACAGTTTCACTAGTTCTCTGCAAGGTAGGGGAGAGAACTGTGTGTGTGAGTGTAGACTTCTCTGTGCCTCAGTTCACCTCTTTAGACCATGTAGAGAATGACTGGCACCCTTATGTCTGCTTCTTCAGCGCTCTGCAGACTCATTGAATGGGAAGGCATCTGGTGATTCACTCCTAGGGAGAAAAAGAAGCCTTCTGTACCCACACAAAGTTATTCTTGAAGTCCAGGTCACTCCTGGCACCTTTTAAATAATTTGGATGTCAAAATATCATTGTGGTTCTTCTGGCTACCCTGCATGTCCTCCAGGAAGGGCCAACTGCCTTCTCTCGGTTTCTGGAGGCCTGGTAAAATATTTCCTGTGGGCAATCATGGGAGGAGCCCCAATTTTGAAGGACTGAACAAGATAAGAAATTAAATACTACTACTAATAATAAATAGCTAGCACTGAGTTGTTATTAAGTACAGGCATTCTGCCAGACACTTCATATATATTATCATATTTAATCCTCATATAAATGAAGTGTTGTGAGCATTCCCGTTTACAGATGTGGAAAATAAGACTCAAAATATTTAAAGAACTTGCCCAAGATCACATGTCTGCTAAATGACAGAGCCATGATTCAAGCCCACATCCTTCAGGTCTAGGGGCAAAGATCTGACACACAAGGTTAATGACAGGCCACTGTTGTCATGAGCTTGACCTTTCCTGTAGCACTGCCTTATACGTCCTAGTCGATGTTACACCCTGATGCAACGTAGGCCAAGGACAGTGGGGCACTGCAGCTGTGACGGTGTGCTGGGAGGGGCACAGCTCTGTCAGTTCAGGGACTGCCTGACCCAGCCTCGCCAAATTAGAGCAAGTAATGGGTGTGACATAATTTGACATGTACAGTGTTAATTGAACCCCATGGGAGATGATTTTAAATAGAGACAAATAGCATGCTGTGTGAACTATTTCGGTTATGAAGCCCTTATTCCCTGACTCTTGCAGAAAGAAAGAATTGTGTCATGATAAACTGAAAAGCCCAGGAAGCTGTTCCAGGGTCAGGAGAGCAGCAGGCTAGCTGGACTGGGGAAGATTCTCCCGGGGAGTTTCAGGAATTTCTCTCACTTCCTAGCATTATACCCATAAAGCCCAAGTTAAGAACCACTAACTCTACCCAGAGACTTCCAGGGGGGACTCAGAACCCCTATCAAAAAGCCAGCCCTGGTAAAACAGCAAAACAGGCACAGTTTGAAGCCCCTCCTTGTGCCCCTCCCATCCTGCTTTCCCTTTCTCAGGTTCACAGAACCAACGACCTCCCCAGGGGCCTTGGTGAGGGGCCCACACATGTTCACTGTCTCTGGGCCTCCCCAGTACCCAGTTCCTCCTTCCATTTTCCCATCACTAGCAAGGCTGACCTGTCCTATTTCCCACACCCTCGTACTTGCTTCTGACCTTCATGAACAGTATGTGTGCCCCCGTGGGCTACCCACTAATCATAATGTGCTAAGATGTGCCCATCCTCTCGGGCAAGACCGTCTGGTTGTATCACACATAGCCAGTATCCCAGAAAAGTTCATTGTTGAATTAATGAATGACAGTAAGAATAGCAAAGATTCTCTGGAAATCCCATGCCTTACCCCAAACTAATATTAGCATACTGGCTGGTAAAAATGAATTTGGGAGCAAAAGGCCTTTGCCTTTTTAAAAGTGGAAGACTTTTAAATAACACGGCGGGAAAGGCCAGGAGAGATACAGGACACGGGACGGCCTCCCCACACGCATTCCCTTTCCTCCACTTCCTATCAAGGTTCCATACTTCCCACCCATGCAGTTGGGAGGGATTAATGTAGTTGCCGTTGTCTGGGTGGACCTTGGTAGTCCTCCACCATCCAGCGGGCTCCATGGTCCTTGCCATCCTTGCCACAGATACTGGTTTGGAGATGGCCCCCTGGCCCCGATGCAAGGCGGCTTTACCAAGGGCCTCTGGGATCTTGAGGGCATCAGGTGAGCCAGCCTAAGAATGAAGCCAGTGCTGTGACAGGATAGTAAGAAGCGAGGGAAATTCCTTGACAAATGGAATAAGGGAAACTGAAACAAAAGAACTAAACAAGGCCAAAAGATTTGAGCAATTTACAGTCAGCTAAAGAAACACAAGGTTTCATCTTCCTTAATCAAGGACACTTAGGATAAATGGTTTACACATTCTACACGGTCCCAGGACAGAATGGCCTTAGTCCTGGTCTTTCTTTGAAAAGCTAATGAATATTCTGTTAAGACCCTCCCCTGGGATTTGGGTGGGCGGACCAAAGAAAGATAAAAAGCCAAAAGAACCTTTAATCCAATAGAAAATCCATAAAGAACTTTTGGGGATCTCACTACAGCACACCCAAGCCTTGCATCTCTGCTGTTTTTCTCCTAAACTGGAAGGGACCCCAGGAGACTTGTAAAGAGGGAAGCATTGGGCAGAGGCAGCTCATCCCCAGCTTACACCCTGAACCTATCTATCTTCAAGGCCTCCTTTTCCCTGACTAAATCTCTCTTGTTGCTTCTTCTACCTTAATAAGCCCTTCCTTGTTTCACTGTCCTCAGCTGTAATAAACATACTCTCAAAATCACCAGGACTTGTGTTGTGAAATCTTCTCTGCATGATGTCAAGAACCCACACACTACTGGCGGGCCCAAGGCAGACCCACTGCAGATAGGGTAAACAGTGCCACGGCAGACCAGTACCATGAAGCCACTGAGACTTCACTGACTTGTCCAGCTACTACATGAGCCTACCTGACTTCTGGACTTTTCAGTGACATAACAGAGAAAGCCTCTTTTTGGTTTAAGCTAAATAAACATACAACACAATATTATAACCCCTTGATTCTTTTTTATAATTGATCTCAGAGGCTGTGTTTTTTTTTATCTTAAATTACCTTTATCTTACAGCTTATGTAACTTAAATAAACACATCAAAAAAAAAAAAGCCTCCTAATTTTTCACTCTGTAGTCAAAGCCTTCCCAAGATCCCTAGGCTTGTGCTGTCTCAGGTAAATGAGAAAACAACAGTGATTTCAATAAGATAGAAACTTATTTTTCTATCATATAAAAGGCAGCTGGAATCTGTCTGGTGTGGGAGCTATCATGTCATCAAGGTCCCAGGTTTCCTTTTTCTTTATGTTCTGCTATTCTTACATAGCTTTTATCTTTAGATTCACTTCATGGTCCAGTGTGGCAGCTGGAGCTCCAGCCATCACATTGATCTTCCTATTCCAGGAAGGTACAGAAGGAAGGAAGAAGGAGAAAAAAATGAATGTGCTTGTAGTCCAGCTCCCCTCAAGGAGCCTTCACAAAAGACCCACCCAACAACTTCTGTTTATATCTCAATGGCCAGTCCAGCTACAAATGTGACTGACAAATGTAGTCTTTAAGCTGGGTACATTGCCACCCAGATTAAAATCTGGGTTGTGTTCCTACAGTAAAATGGGAGAGTAGACACTAGGTAGGCAACTAGCAATTTCTGCCCCACCCTACTTATCAGACAAGTTGGGCTTCTGTGTTTAGTTCTGCTCCTTGGTTCCTGTTTCCAAGGAGACCTCCTGGTTCAAACTGCAATTATCCTCTCCATGGACCCTTCACATCCCATGCTGGTTCCCTACTGCACCCCACCCAGGAAGCCCTGACCAGCAGCTTCTGATTTATTCAGTTAAGAAGCATGTTTTGAGCAGCGACTATCTTTTATTAGACAACATTAGTCTTTCATGAGAACCTTGGCTTCAATTTAACTCGTTGCACACTTGAACTTCGTCTCTGTCAGTGTTCCAGTTAGACTTCATTTATACTTATCCTTCTTCATTCACTAGTCTTTCCCTGGAACTATGTGCTTGCCAACACAGGTCTGCTCTTCAAGAGTCGGTTTGTAACTTCCTTCTGTCCTCAATACTCTAAACGCCATGGATGAGGCCTGCGTGGCCTAGGGCAACATGGTCATGGTCAGCAGCAGCAACTGAGCCAGGGCTGGGCTTCTGCACATCTTCATGGATAACAGGTACGATTTTGCCCAGGTATAGGTAACTGAGGGAGGCCAGGGTGATGATATATATTTTTTATTCTCTCAAATTCTTCTGACCCTAATGGTACATTTCAGGCCTCATAGATAGCATTGCAGGGCTCAGTCATCCATAAAGAGCATACACAAGGAAAAGTCAGACAATGATAATGAAGTGAATTATTGTCTAGACAGAGACAGAACGTCTCCTCCCTACCTCACCTGCACAAAGCATACAAATAATGTCTGATAATGCCAACAAAATGCGTTATTTTGAGTCCTCATATAAAGAATACCTTTCAGAACTATTTAGTTCTTTCACACAAATTTTCCCATTTTGGTTTTAATAATTAACTAAAAGCTGTTGTAAAAAACACAAAATTTTACTTTCTATTATGTCTTTTCAAATAAAAACATCCTTAAGCAGACATGAACAATTATCCCCAACTGTTTTTTTTTTTAGTTCAAGATTTCAGAAGAATAGGTACATTATGCTTTAGCATTTTACTTTTATTTTTTTAATCCTCACCTGGGGACATGCTCATTGATTTTAGAGGAAGGGGAAGGGAGGGAGAGAAGCACTGATGTGAGAGGGAAACCTGGATCGGTTGCCTCCCACGCGGGCCCTGACCAGGGAACCTGAACTGCGATCATGGGTGGGACAACGCCCAACCAGGTGAGCCGCACAGGCCAGGGCTAAATTATGCTTTAAAGCATTGCTTTAAATTTAAAACTAAATCTATGAGACCTGACTTTGTAGGTTTAGCCGAGAGGGCTTGATCTGGATTTAGAAAGCTCGTTGACTGGTCTGGTCGTATTGATTCTAAACAAACGTTTGTGATAGCGCGTGTTTCGGGGCCAAAGCATTCATTATCGTGACGGCCAAATGCTCCAGGGTGGAAAGGTCCGAACTGCAAGAAGCTCTGTTCCTATATCGAAAGGGCACATAAATTCCAAAAGAAGGTGTTGGCATACGTCCCCTCTGCTTTTCAGTTTCCAACAACAGATGGTGACATCACAGTTCCAAGTATTTCCCATATAGTACTTGGCTTACACAGAGCTTTATTCTCCCGGGAAAGCAGGCAGCATCAACTAAAAAGAAATGCATTTTGCTGATAAGCCGGTCTGTTCTTGGGCGTCACAGCACTGTCAGAAAGGCAATACTGGGAATGACTCCACTCCCCTAGGAGTGCAAACAGTCACCGGCACCCAAGGACACCGGGGAAATGGTTGGATATCAGAGGATATGTCCTTTTGGTGCTGATGAAGAAATACTGAGGCGTGCAGACAGTGAAACAGATAGGACTTATCTCAGAAAGGTCATTTGAAGGAGAACTTACCGAGGAATGACATTCGCCTCTGTCGCTGAGTAGAAAACCAGCCAGGACCTGGCAGCCCGACAGCCTGGGCTCCTTTCCAGGGCTGCAGCTCCCTACAGGCAGTTGAGCAACGTGACCCTGGCGGCAGAGAAAGCCTGGACGGGCCTCTGAGGCTGGGGAGCCTGACCACTACCTCACTGGTGAGACATTGCACCGTCCTTGGAGACACTGTTCTTGCCTCGACTTTAAGGACCTCCCTTTGTTTTTTTCCACTCCAGCATACCACAGCCTGACATCCTCTCCCCTCCCTGCTGCAGTATTTTGCCCAGAGGACCCTGAGCCATGAAGCTGGTGGGAGGTGAGGAGAAGAGCTGTGGTGTACATCATTTTGCACAAGAGACAGGGGACCTGTCCAACCAGCTGTGTGATCCTGGGCAAGTCCCTTCTCTGTGCCTCAGTTGCCACAAATATATAGTGGGACTTATAATCACATTCACCCGATAGGACTGTTAAGGAGCATTCAACAAAATCTTGCTGCAGAGCACTTAAGAACAGTGCCTGGCTCCCAGTCAGCACCACAACTGCAAGCTTTCACCAAGAGGGGAACGGTTTCTACTCCACTTTCGCCCTGGATACTTCACTGAAACAAACATTGGCCCCTCCTGACACAGGACAGAGATGATAAGAAAGGGAAACATCTTACTATCCTTTAATTCTGTCAGTAGTTCTTGACCTATCAAAAGATACCTGCGTGCCCATGTGTATATGTAGATTTTCTTAATTATACAAAGTCTATGCTGATCTGATTCCATTTTAATCTAATGATGAAAGGCTAAGTCACATCTGTTCAACTGAAAGTGCACAGGCTTCAGGAACACGTGGATAAAATGTAACTAACGTTATCTTGGTTCAAATTCCTTTTGCTTGACCCGACTGCTGTCTCATTGAACCTTTGCAGGTTGTTTTTTTTTTTTTCTCAGTTATGGCAGAGAGTAAAGTAAGCACATCCAGGTCCCCACACATGGCAATAGACTGACACCAAATCAAGTCTGTGGAGGCCTCATCATGGATTCTCTGGTCCCGAGCAGAGCATATTTCTCATGCACGTTGAAGACTGTCCATTAGTTCTTGGCAAGGAGGCTAAGTTCTCAGATCCACTCTCTCTAACCAGTCTCCCTTTTCTCATCCTCACAGATCCTCACTGAAGGGCAGAGGTTCTCCCCACTTACAGGACAGAGGTGGACAACTGTGGTCAACCTGCTTCATGACATCCCTGGACCTGATCCAGGTCAATCATTAAGTTCCCAGTGCACACTGCCCAGACCCAAATCTTGGCCTTCCTTACAGGGGAGAAGCATCTTCTTTTAATTTCAAAATCATGAAATAAGGACCTTGAAAATTAATTTACAAACTTCTTTACCTCTGGGGAAGGCAAGTCCATTCACATCTGAAATTTTCCCTCAATGCCTTAGGTGGTGCACTGACTGAGCCACCGAGCTCTCACAATGCAGCTGAAAAAAAAATAAATAAAGTTTTGCCCTGTCTGTGTGTCTGTGGAAATGCAAAGCCGTAATGATGTAGGCTGAGCCAGAATTCTCAATGGAATCCTTAGACTGGTTCCTGGGAGGAAAATCCAGTCAATTTCTGTTACCGTACCTACTCGCCACGGGGTGTGGGCTCCTTGGCCCAAATGCTTCTGAGCAAAGCCCCCTTCTGGGAAGGGGGTGAGCACTGCAGTGAAAGGCGCTGATGTGCCAAGGATCAATATTTACTGGTGACCAGCATTTTGGAGCATGGTTACCATGGTAACATTGTCAGCCCCAAATGACTGTCATGAGGTGAAAAAACCTTCTTAAAATAAATGAAAGCAGGAAAAGTTATATTTATAAACCTCTTACCGAACACCTATCTGTTCACAAAGTAGAATGCATCCTTTAGGCTATAGATATTCAAAGATTTAGGGGAAATTTCATGCCATAAACATTTTCTTAAAAGAATTATTATTCTCATCTCTCAAAAAATAGTCTGTAAAATAATATGGATTTTTTAAATGAAGAGAGTTCTAAGGATTTATGGGCTTGTCCACTTAGATATTTAATGCAGTTGTGACATTAACATTCTGCACTAAGTTACCAACGGCTTATTTGGAATATGTAAAGCAGTATTTGACTAGGAGTTTTCTTCTAAGTTGTACAAATTATTTCTGGCAGGTTCAATAAATAAAGTGTCATAAAATGTGTTATGCACTGGGGAAAAGACATCGGGGACACAGATGAAGATACTTGTGCACAGTTTTTGCCAAGCTCCATCCCTCGCTTGCATTCCCTTACTAACAGAACCACAATTTTATTTAGAGGAGCAGTGCGCTCAGCCAAAAATACTGTTTCACCTCCCTTGCCGTTAGAGGTGGCCACGTGATGTAGTTCTGGCCAATAGGATTCAGGCAGAAGTCCCTGAGGAGGGTATTGTTGGGAGACAATTCTCCCTGGTCTCTCATGTATCTGTTTATCCTGCGAGCAGAGGCACTATCTTTTGTTTTACATTCTCCTCCCAAGGATGGTTGCATGGCATACAATCCTGGAAGAGAGGCATATCGCCTCTCCAAACCTTGGAAGACAGAGATCCTGTTTTACCGCAGGGCAAAGGTCAAGCTTACCTACTGACCGTTTTGCAAGATTTGAGTTCCCTAAGTTCAGCTTCCTCTCCTGTCGTGCATTCCTGCGGGCCTCTCTGTATTGCTCCTTTGGGTCTTGAGGGCAAGGAGAACTGCTACAGATAATGCTGATACTTCTGCTACTTGATGTGTTGTGGGTAATAAAGTCCTTTCCCTCTGCCCCAGGAGTCTCTCGACTTCTGCCAGCATCCATGAAACCATGGCAGACTAACTTTTAGTTTGTTAGTAGGGTGAAACCTCAGACTCTCCATAGTTCTTGACAAGATATTCCTTTCAGAATATAGAAGTGAGGCAGGAGAAAGCTCTGGCCTCTTGGCCCTTCCCCTTTCCTCCTGCCTTGAGGTACAGTGACCCATTTGGAACCACAAGGTGACAGCGTGAAGACAAAGTCTACATCTGAAGATGGGATGGCAGAGAAGAAACACGAAGACTCTGGGTCCCTAACAGAGAGTTGCTGCACTAGCCCTGGATTGCGTAATGAATTTCAGGTTCTGGTTCTCTGAGATAAATGAGCCTCTGACTTGGTTATGTCAGCATTGGTTTTGTTTTTGTTTCAGGCAAATGCATCCCTAGAGTTTGTGTCAAACTTGATAACACAGTGATTACATAATAGGAACTGTGTCAAACATATGCTAGTATGTTGCTGTCTTCCTTACTTATTGGTCCTATTTCTATCTTTCTCTATCTTAACATTATTGTATGTATCTCTTATAAATGAACTCAAACCCTTCTGGGAAAGATGTGTAAAAAATCAATTCAATAAATACAATTTGGTCCCAGGCCAAATGTGTCCCTGAACTTTCCTAAGTTGTCTCTTAAGTTATTAATCAAGAAGGGAAAACAATAGAACTTCTCCTCTCTGCAAACTTATACCTGGTGCTTGAGGCCTATTCACTCACCAATGTTATATAGCTCCCAGCATAATGGCTGGCTGAGAGTAGGCTTTCAAAAATTTACGGACAAAGTGCTCTTGAAAGGTGTCTCTTTATCAAATGTGCTGGTTAGGCCCAAAGAAAATTAACATTTAACAGAGAGTATTTCAATATGTTAGGTCTGTCATTTGACTACAGTAAGTGTGTTAAGAAAAACACCGTAGCTCAGCTTCAAAGAACCAATTTCTTAGCTTTGTTCCTAAGGACAACAAGATGCCACATAACAACGGAATCAAAAGATTCTTGCCCTGGCTGAGTGGCTCAGTTGGTTGGAGTGTCACCCTGTACACCAAAATGTGGCGTGTTCGATTCCCAGTCAGGGCACATACCTATGTTGTGGGTTTGATCCTCCACTGCGGTGTATATGGGATGCAACCAATTGACGTTTCTCTCTCACATCAATTTTCTCTCTGCCTCTCTCTTTCTCTCTCTCTAAAATCATTAAACAGCTCTGGCTGGTGTGGCTCAGTGGCTTGAGCACTGGCCTGTGAACCAATGAGTCGCTGGTTTGATCCCCAGTCAGGGCACATGCCTGGGTTGCAGGCCAGGTCCCCAGTGCGGGGCATGGGAGAGGCGACCACACCCTGATGTTTCTCACCCTCTCTTTCTCCCTCTCTTCCCCCCTCTCTCAAAATAAATAAATAAAATATTTTAAAACATAAATTTAAAGAATTCTTAAACATATCCTCAGGTAAGTATTAAAATTTTTTTAAAAAGCCCACACAACCTCAAAGTCTGCTTCAATAGGATACCAGAAGTAATAATCGTTGTCATCAGAGATCAAAACATCTTTGAAAGTCATGTACAAAAGTTATTTTTAAAACATTGGAAAAAAATTCAAAACTTGTATCAGGAAGAAAAATTAAAACACAAGATGAGAATATAGAACAATGTAGACTTTTACACCAAAAACAGGATAAACAAAAAGATACTGTGCATAATAAGATGAGTTACAAATATCCTTTGTTTGAAGTCTGGTTGAATAAAGTCTAGCCATCGTTAATCTAATGAGAACAGTTTGTGCAACATCGATGTAACCTGGCAGCCAAGGAGAGTGGACTCGAATGCACATGTGCAAACAATGACGACTTCATTGTACTAATCAGGGGGGTGGCAGACGTCACTGATTGAACATGTGTGTTGTGTGGCCATTGCATTTTAAATGGCTGAGCAGGTAGAGCAACAAATCTGCATCAGATTTTGTGTTAAGCTTGAACATTCCTCCGCAGAAACAATTTGGATGATACAGAAGGCTGCAGGTATGGGCAACTGGTGATTGACAGCTTCATTACAACAATGTGCCCACTCATGCATTATGTCTTGTGCAGCATTTTTTTGTGAAACATCAAATCACCCAGGTCACGCAGCTCCCCTACAGCCCAGATTTGAGGCCCTGTAACTTCTGGCTTTTCCCAAACTCACCTCTGGCTTTACCAAAACCACCTTTGGAAGGGAAGAGATTTGTCGATGAGATCCAGGAAAATATGACGAGGCAGCTGATAGTGATTGGGAGAACTGTGTGAGGTCCCAAGGGGCCTACTTTGAAGGGGACTGAGGCACTGTTGTCCTATGTACAATCTTTCTTGTATCTTCTTTAATAAATGTCTCTATTTTTCATAGTGCATGGCTGGATACCTTCTGGAAAGACCTCATATTATTTTCAGTACATTACAATGATTCTTATTTTCTGTTCAAAAACTGAAACAATGTGAAATTGCCGATAATATGTGCCCTCAGTATGATTTCTGTTTAAACCTCTATCCAAACCACAAAGAGATACCATTTCACACCCATTAAGATGGCTATTATTTTATTAAGAAATAGAAAAAGAGCAAATACTGGCAAGAATGTGGAGAAACTGGAGCTCTTCTGGGCCATTGGTAGGAATGTAAAATAGAGTGCCACTAGGGAAAAACAACTTGTGGTTCCTTGGGAGTTCAACATAAAATCACCATGTAGTTCAGTAACTCTGCTCCTTAGTACATACTCAGAAGAACTGCAGATGGGGATTGCACACCCATGTTGACAGCATTGTTCACAATAGCTGGCGGTGGAGACCCCCCACTCTCCATGGGCACATGAAGGGATCAACAAAACTTGGTGTTACCACAGACTTACAGCTGAACCAAAGATCTCTGTCTACATTATAAAAGGAAAATAAGCAGGGGATTGGAGTGGGAGCAATCTGAAAATAATATATTTACCGACAGAGTCTGGCCCCGTGTATGCCTGAGCAGGGCGGTGGGTGGGGGTGGTCCAGGGATACACACGCCTGAGACGTGAAGAACTGGAATAAAATGCGGGTACACGCAGTGGAATGTTAGTCCTAAAGAGGAGTGGAATTCTGGTGTACAGGCTACAACATGGAGGGACCTTGAAAACATCAGGCTAAGTGAAATAAGCAGACGCAAAAGGGTAAATATTATATGATTCCATTTACACGAGGTACCCAGAATAGGCAAATGTGCAGAGACAGAAAGGAGCATGATGGGTACCAGGGACTACAGGATGGGGGATGGGAAGCTGTTGCTTATTGGGTATACAGTTACTGTTAGGATGATGAAAAGTTCTAGAAATAGATCGTGAGGACAGTTGCACAGCATTGTGAATGCACTGACTGGCCACTGAGCTTTACATTTACACATGGTTAAAACGGTAATTTCTGTGTTGTGTATACTTTGCCACAATAAAAAATATCTCTGAGAGAAATTAAACCCAAATGGTGGGAACCAGATTTTAAATTTTGTACGCGGGTTTTGCTTCTTCTCGTCCTTGCTTTCTTCAAGCCCTGCCTGCCTGCGCCAAGAAGCAGAGTGACTGAGATGACCCCAAGACGCTGCCTTTGGGGCTGAGGGTTTGAGTGGTCACGTGCCTCGGGAGGTCCTACGTCATTTGGAAAAATTTCCGGCTCAGCAATTTTATTCTGTTCCTCCACCCCCACCCCAGACATATGTTGGGCCAGAATTGTTTGTGAAAATATTATTTTAGGATTCCTTCCACTCTTATCATCTGCTTATTTTCCTTCCTGCATATTTCATAATGTAGGGATTTCTGATTCAGCAGTTAAAATAGTCTGTGCATTAGTTATCACTTCCTCGTGACCCACTTTGTACACAATTTCTCATTCTGGCATAGAAAGTTCAGGTTTCAAAAAAAAATTTCCTGTGACTAAAGTATGTGTCTGAAGAAAAAAAGGAGGGGAAGAGGTGTTGACTGAATTTCTATGGCAGCACTCCGGAGATCTCAACAGTGGGCCCCGAATCAGCCCTGAGAGTTCCCATTTTATTTACTCTCCTACAACAGCTCTCAAATTACACCCTCTGTAGTTATTCCACACCCATAACCCTATTTTTCCACTTCCCCCCTCTCATTTCCTTCCTAAGAAATACATCTGTGCACTGAATTCACCGAACACCGTGTCTGCTGTGCATCGCGGTGCTGAGCGCGCTGGGGGACACCGAGGGCCCTGCGGGAGCCCCGCTCTGAGGAGTGGGCTCCCAGCGCCACTACGCGTGTATGAGATGCAGGTTCCCAGGCTCCGTCACCAGCGGATGACTCAGGTGGTCTGAGCTTTTAGCAGCTCCCAGAGGATTCTGACTGGGATCCTAAGAGCGCATTTTGTGAAACACTTCGATGAGTTGGAAGGCTGTAGAGTATCTTCTGTGTTGTACTGAGGCAGCTCCAAAGCCACAAACCAACAGAGAAAGAAGAGACGGAATTGGTCTGAGACACTGAGGGAAGGCTTCGTGGAAGAGGCACTGTCACCAGCTGCCACCCAAGCCCTGAAGGTGAGGGCCAGACTTCCGGTCACACTGCCCCCCACCCAGGGCCTTTGGAGAATTGGGGGAGGACAGGAGACTCTGGGACAAGGAGTTACACTCATCTCCGAGAGGGTCCAGGCAGACGAGGTCTTTTCCTGGGGTTCCCTCCCCCACACTGAGCCCCAGTCCCAGGCCGACCTGCCAGCTCTGGACGAGGTCCTTCACTTCTGCAGCCTCAGGCAGTGGATGATGTTTTCTGTTCTAAAGTCTCCGCGGAAGAATTAAATGAGCCAATGTGTACAGAGCTCTTGGTACACAATTAAAATTCAGTATGTGACAGCTAATGTTATTCTTACTGTTCTAGATTTTTCTTTAGGATAAATTCCTAGAAGTGGGATTACTGAAACAAGGAGTGTGTTACTAAAAGATACACATGGATACCAAGTATGCAACTTCTAAGTTTTATGAAAGTGTTTCAATTTGACTTCTGGAGGTAAAGATGTTCATTCATATCTATACAAAATATTAATAGTGTTAGCTTCTGAATGGAAGGGATTGAAAATATTCTCCATGTTCTTTTTGTTGCATTGATCCACTTATTTCTGCTTCCTCCTCCTCCTCTTTTTCCTTCTCCTCCTTGTCCTCTTCCTTTATCTCCTCCTCCTCCTCCTCCTTCTCTCTGACAGACACCGTCCCCCTCCCCCCCTCAATGCATTCCAGCTTATTCAATGCCTAGAAACCCCTTTAAATGAACACCTCTTCCCCACAGGAGACACTATTAAAATGTAAACATGTTACCTGTGAAAAGCACCACATTCAATTCCAAGACCTCGGCCTTTCCCCCAGGTCATTGATCCGATCAGCTGGCTGTTATACACCTGGCTCAGAATAAGGCCTGGACGGAAGGTCTGAGTCAGAACGACCACCCCAGAAGGACCAGCCCAGAATAAGAGGCAGCAGTGAAGGTCCTGAGAGCTAAAAGGACATAAAAAAAAATCAGATGCTCAAGATAAGAAAACCAAAACCAAAAGGGTGGGCAGGTTTTCAGAGGAGTCCTTGAAAGGAAACAAGCACCCCGCTGTCTGAGATGGCTTGTGTTCAACGTCTGGAAGCAGAGAAGTAAAGCGGCGGGCCTTGGGAAAGCCCCTGCACAGGTCTGGGAAAGTGCAAGGATGGGGTGAAGACAGAAGTCTCGGGCTTATTTGCCCATGCCTATTCTTATAGGCACATATCGTAGACCAGGTTACAGTTTATACAACTGGGTTCCAAAGTGCTAGTAAGAAAAGCACTCAGAAAGCAATTCTAACGTCTCAAAGGAGATGCCATAATAGTTTGGACTGATTCATTCAAATGCTTTTTGTATGAAAACTTTCCTTTCTTGATTATCTTATTTCATAGCTGTGTTACTTTTGAACATAGTATTGGTTTTAGAAAACCAAGACCCTTTTAACATTTCTATCCATAGATTTCATACCATAATTGAAATCTACTTTTTTTTTTTGAGAAAAACTTAGAGACACTGTTATGTCTAAAATGCAACTTTGTAGTTTTGGGTCTTCCCAAATTGTCTTAATTTCAGTTTGGAACAAAAACAATTTTACCACATCCTCCAGATGCTCACCGATTTCTGTTGCAGGGTGGCTCCTCCTCTGGACCCTCAGCTTAGCCAGGGCCTCAGCCCTTCTCCCAGGTAGACTCAGCCTGGCCTGCTTAGCTCCCCCCGCCACCCTGACTCCGGGGGTTCTCTTCTAGTCACCCCTGTAGCCTGTGGCCTAAGAGGCCCACCTGACCTCTGTTATGGGCTCACCTTGCCCTTCACTGAATCAGACCCCAGGGAAGGCGCTCTGATTCTCAACTCAACCATCTCCCACGACATATGGGAACTTCTGAGTGCTGTCCATGCCATGTGGAAACTGAATGAGGGTTCAGGGAAGTCAAACTCCAGCCCTTCCTCTGCCCAGTCACACTACTCTGTCTGTTTCACTCTGATGGGTCAGGGCAGTCTGAAAGGCATCCCCCTTTCAGATCCCAAATATGAGGCAGGGCAAATCCCCTACATCTGGTGTGCACATCAACCTACCTGACCGGCAGACAAGGTTGTCCTTCATCTGTACCCTTCTTATCTCTGTGGTGGGGCGTCTGCAAAGATAACCACTGTTAATTCATCTCTCCCTGTATGTGCTCATTGCCCCTCCCATCAAGAAGTAGAAGCTACTTCCTCTCCCTGATTCAGGGATGGCCTTGTGACTTGCTTGCTTTGATCAACAGAGTGCAGTGGAAGTGATGTTCTGGTGCTTCTGAGCCAAGATCTGAAATGCACTGGCAGCTTCCTCTTTCTCTCAGTGAGAAGCCATCTACTGTGTAAGAAGTCCAACCACCACCCTGAGATCATCATGCTTCGAGGAAGTCCTAGCTATCCACAGGGAGAGGTGAGGGAAGGCGGGGGCTGGGGGTGGGGAGAGAAGGCGAGAAAGAGAGAGAGAGAGAGAGATGCAAACTCAGCACCAGCTATTTCATGTATCCCAGACACGGAAGTTAAGTTTTCTTGGGTGTTGCAACCCCAACAGATACTCCACAAATGGAAGAACCACCCAGCTGAATTCAAGCTCAGATTGTGGAATTATGCTAAATGCTAAATGTAGCTTTAAGCCACTAAGTTGTGGGGGTAGCTTATTGTGCAGCCACAGCTAAGTGACACACCTCTCCAGCTGCATCTCTCCCCATTGCCTGCCTTATACTTTATGCTCCAGCAACTCCCACCAGCTTGTGGTTTGTTGTATATGCTATGCTGTGTCTCATTTCCTTACTTTTTTAGAGCTGTAACTCCTTTTCCCATCTCTCTCCTTTGCTTGGTTAACTTCTGTTCCACTTTTGTTTCATTTTTTCTTCTCCTTGGCACTCATGGTAACTTGTACAAACCACTCTCATTGCACCAAAGACATTATACTGCAATTGTTTCTTTATGTATCTGCCTCCCAAACCGGGCTTGAATTCTTAAATTGTGGATACTACGTCTTATTTGGCTTTGAGGTACCACTTTATTTGGAAGTGAGAGCAAGTCCCTTAAACTCGTCCAGTTTTCCCTCATCAGTTAGGGACTGCATTCAGTTGCCTATAACAGAAGCCAACTTCACTGTTTTAAACAAATAATGTTGTTTTTTTTTTCCCCTTCACATTAAGAGTTTAAAACTAGTGTTTCCAGGGCAGAAACAGTGGCTTTGCAATGTCAGCAATATCCCAGTTTCCTTCTGTCTTCCTGCTCCACCCCCCATAGAATACGGCTCTCCTTCACATGCCCACAACTGGGCTGTCCTGCCAGCAGCCTCATCTCTACGTTCCAGGCCGGGAGAAGGAAGGAGCAGGGAAGAGAAGGCAATGCCGGCGTCAGGAAAGCAGCACTTTCCCTGAAGTCTCCCAGAAGACTTTCTTTCGGGTCTCACTGGCCAGAACTGAATCACAGAGCCATTGGTAACTGCGGAAGAGGCTACAATAACTGTTCTGAGAACCTAAACTTTGGACCAGAAGCAGTAACTGTGTGGAGCTGACTCTGCAGGGAACAGAGAGAAAATGGATGCTGCATAGCAACTGGTAGTACCTCCTCGTTCCTCACCTGGGACACAGGATCAGGATTAAGGAAATGCAGGCAATGTATTGTTTTTAGTACCAAGGACATATAAGCATTTGATCAAAGCAATCACCTTCCCACATTTCCAGATGTGGCATTTGAATTTAAACATCTAAGGATTTTCTCTGAAGGGCCAGAAAATTAGTTGGCTCAAGGCAGTTGTCCCGCTCTCTGCCTGCCATTCTCCTGCAGTGGATTTGCCTGTGATTAACAAGCCTCTCTCAATCATCTGTTCAACTGTTAATAAGTCCAAACGGATTTATCACTGTGACTCTTCACTTACGACGTGTGACCCTGGGAGAACAAAGCTCCGAGAGACACAAAAAGCAAACGAGCCGTTCTCATCACTTTGTGGCTCCGGCACTCGCATATTTCACTTCTGATTCATGGAAAAATATCCAGCACGTGAGAGTCAGCTATATTGGCAAGAGGCCTCAGACCAGGGGGTATAAAAATAAAGTTTCCAATATCTAAGTCACTGGGGCCCAAAGAAGCTGACCTGGAAAAATGTTAGCAATAGTTAGATTTCCTTGTGCTAGTAACCTGTGCTGTGAATCTGCCACCTCCACGTACCCTCACAGTTTTTTGTGTGTATTTTCTGTTACTGTTTATTTGTTTTTGCTGGTTGTGTGTTTGGGCTCATTTTTTTGTTGTTGTTTTTGCTTATTTTTGCAAATTATTTCAAGACTTTTATTTTGGCTAAGACTTTTTTGTTTGCCGAGGAAAAGCATAAAATGGCTTGTTAAAAAGTGAGTTTATTGGCTTGAGTGACTAAAATGCCCAACAGTAGTTTCAATGACTAAATAGGTCCCTGGCAGCTCCTAAATTACACTCCACCAGTGCAGCAACCCCAACAGAAAGAGGAGGCATTTTCCCCAGTGGTTCCAGGAAAAGCGTCAGGACTGACCCGGTGTGGGTCACAGGCCCATCCTTGAGCCAGTCAGCAAACTAAGGAAATATGGTTCTCTTACTGGCTAGTCTGGGTCACATGCCTGAGCCTGGATCCCAGGGTGAGGTCAGCCTCCTTTAAACCACTTAGGTTGAGAGTGGAAAAAAGATGGTCTTCCAAAGGCTCGTTGGGTGGCTCCTGCCAGCATGGTAGTGTGCTGTGGCCAGGCCTTGCAAAAGCTCGAAGTGCCCTGCTCAAGTCCAGATCCCTTTAGATGTTATCAAACATAAATACCATAATAATGCCAAAGATGCTCTTCCGCATCTGTCAAAATCCTACTGCTTTTTCAGGCTCCTTTCAGATGTACCACAAGCAAATCTCCCTAGTGAGATTAATTTTCCATCAGCACTCTGTTTATTTTTCTCTCAAGGCGAGTATCATATCTTGCCGTGGATTATGGTGAGTTACACACCCATTTGTCTCCACTTGGGTTTGAAAGAAACTTCAGGCCGAGCTTGAGCAGGGCACGCCTTCCATTCATCACCAAAAGCCTGGGCATTAAGGTTTCTGTCTTGACGTGACCAGGCCTCAGAATGGAAAGAATGCGGCGTGGTGTGGAGGGAGAAACCCACGGCTCCATGCATGATGGGAAGTGGCGTTTTAGAAGTCAGACTGGTGTTCCTTTTCGATGTCATCCTGGAACATCTTTCTTTAACACGCATGGCGAAACCTGGAGGGAAGCTGAAAACAGATTCAAACCCTCAGCTGGCAGTAGTCTTGGAAGTGTCATGTCCTGAATGAATTAGAGAGAAATTGTGAGAAGACTTCCTCCCTTCAATAAACAAACATGCAAATACCCCAGATGCCTGTTACCCTCTCTCCAGGGTGAGCAGCTTATTAATAAGTTCAGGACCTTTCTGTGCTGCTCATACTTTTTACACACCATCTGTTTCCTCTCTCCTCCTGTCGTTGGTGGCTTCATTCCAGGGACAACCCTGGGGAGAAGGAGTCGACATACCAAGTTTCTGCTATTGTCCCCCTTGCTTGCAAGTACCTGCAGATTTCTCTTGAATGTTTCCTGGTCGACTCAATAGGTTTTAATTACGTGAACTAATATTTGCTCACTATGAAACCATATTTGCCCTCACGAAAGGCAAGGTCTGAAAGGCCTGGGATTAGGCAAACCCAGAAAAATCTCAACATTTATGCAAACAAGCTCGTGTTTCCTCCCACCTAGCACTTCCTCACCGCTCAAGTATTCTGCTTTTGGGACATCTATCTCCTGAGCCTTCCCATCTAAAGCAAATGACCAACCACATGTTCTCTCCCTCCAATTTCCATCTACCCCTGGTGGAAGCAGGATGAAGTTTCCCTCCTACAGGCCTTTCATCTTTCTGTGCAGAAATATTTTTTGTTGGCTCCTTAGAGAAAACTGTTAATGGCCCTAATGAAGCTGTAAGGTACTTCCCTTTTGTGGCTTCTCGGTGTCATTTATGAACCTAAAATTGAAGGACTGTGTCAGAAAATCTTCAGTGTATTGTTTCTCAGTTCTTGTCAAGCATATCACGTAGTTTGTTCTACTGCCGAGTTTCTCCCTCATGATTCTGCCATGCTTGTCCCAAAACACACTCATTCCCCCAAATCAGAAGAGCTTAATGAGATGGTAGGTGGGGGGCGGGGTGGGGACAGACTTTAGAACTCAAGAAATATAAACAATGGACACTAGTTATGTGAGGCTTCATTTATTATAATAGCAAACACAAAAGTTCCTAGGTTATTGTTTTTGGTCATTGTTAGAGTCCAGGGTCCTTATTTTGAGCTTAGACATAGTGAGGAGTCATTCCCCTCCCTCCACACTTACATACCAGGCTGCTCCCATGAGGAGGTGGGGTGCATTTTGGGAAAGGAAGCAAGAATCAAGTCAGGCACCTATCAATCAATTGGAAGTGAGCCACTTTATCTGCAAAGTAGGCCGAAGGAAGAGTGCAAGCATCCCATCCAGTGACAATGGAGGCTGGGTAAGATTGCCAGAAATCTGAACGGCACCGAAAACTCTCAGTGCAGTAGATCTTTAATAGGGTGAAATGCACGCCCTTCCTCTTCTCAAAAAAGTTCGGTGACAGTGGTGGAGTGAAAGTCTTCTGCTTTCAATACACATCATTCCGATATAAATAACTGCCTGCGGTAGTCTCAAACTTGACTTCCTTAAAGCTCACGTCTTCACTTCCCCCAATGTGTGGCCAAACATACCTGTCCCCCCAAAAATGGTAGGTGAATTCTCCTAAGTAAATCATCCTCAGATATTTCTGAGGTAAGGCCCCGTGCCCACTGGATCAGTTACACTTACATGCAAGATTCTCCACTGCATTTCCCCAAAGACACGGACTTACAAACCCGGATGTGCAGTTCTGGAAATCAAAGAAAATTTGCCATAACTGTTCTTTAGTCACTGCCTCCCAGTAGGCATAACCAGTTCAGCTGCAAAACATGCCCGTGCAGACAAGCCCAAGCTCGTGTGCACTGCACATGTCCATGCATACACATACATATGCACATACTCAGTGACATGTGCTACTAACAGTAGAAAATTCTGGGCTTTCAGAACAGGCACCAGTCAAATCCTTAAATTGCAAAACTAAGAACACAAGCAGTAAAATATGTGATTTCAGGCCACTTTTGATTACATTTCTGGAGCTTGGCCAGCACAGCAATTTCCAAGAAAACCAGCTCAGGCAGTTCACAGTTGCTCATCAGCTCACTAGTCTTAAACCAAGCTCTTTGTCACACTGAGGGGAACATTTCTTCTCCTCACCCCAGCTCGAGCTCCAAGTAATCAACTAAATCTCAAGTAATCGACCTTCCCAAAAATGTGTAAGGAAAAAGGAAAGAGGAGGGGCAAGCTGGACAAAACCACCTCACACCATGAGCAACTGGAGAATATGCATACAACCAATTAATTCCACGCTGAGCTCTGCAAGTTAATAGGCAGGGCAAGCCAGTGCTTGGTTTTAGACAAAGGGGCAAAATGGACACATTTCCCATATATATGACTCTACACCCATTGCCAAGCCAGCCAAGAGAGTAGTTTCCTTCAAGTGGTCAGTCTTGCCTAGGGAAGTCATGTGAGTAACCCATAGCTGACCCTGGGGGTTTGCAATGAGGTTCAAACTGGACCTCAGTCTATACTGGAGATGAGCTCAGAGCTCATAATCTACTCAGATTGGGAGGATAGGGGCTGTTAGGAGGGATAAGCAGTTGTGGTTTTCCCAGCGTAGGTCTGGTGTGCAGCCTGGACCCCTGGAGGGGGCCACAATGGAGTCTTCCTCCTCACTGGACACATAACCTGTGAGAACTGCCCTTTAAAGTTCCGTACATACACAGTGAATGACCAGTCACTGGCCATTCGTGCGCAAGGCAGTTTGGGTGCCAACTGCCGATTTAGAGCATGTGCCTGTTTAGATGTTAACTTGGACTCAACTTTGGGAAGACTAGCCTACAGTAAAAAAACAAGCAAACAAAAAACCCTTAATTTTTTATGGTTTCTTACCTCTTTGGTGTTATCATCTCCCTTGAGATTTTGAAAAATAAATATTTAAAAAATCTAGGCAACAAATGGTATGATTTCGTTCATTCCCCAAGTGTTAGATAATAAACTAGCTTCTGTCTCTCATCCCCGCAAAATAAATTCCAGACTGATCAAAGAGCCTAAAGTGAAAATCAAAATAAAATGAGTATTAGAAAGAAACATAAGAGAATATTTATCACCTTGACATAGGGAAGGATTTTCCAAGCAAGATATAAAACTCAAAAACTATAAAGAAAAAGATTTACAGATTTCACTGTGTAAAGTTTTAAGCTTTAGAAAGTAAAAGGCAATATAAGTAAAGACTAGGAGAAATACTTACAACAGATATAATATAGAATTAATATCCAGAATAAACACAGCACATACAAATCAATAATAAAAACAAACAACCCAATATTTAATGTGTAAGGAATATTCATTGGAAATTCACAAATATAATTGGCCAGGGTACGTTGGTCAAACACTGTTCACAACCCCAAGTTTTATTTTTAGATATGTACCCAGTAGAACTTTATATGCATATATATACAAAAAGATAGGTGTAAGAATATTCATGGCAACATTATTTGCTAATAGCTTTAAGTTGGAAACAATCCACATGTCCATCAGTGAATAAATTTTGGTATATTGACATAATGGAATATAGTAAGAAATGTAAATGAATATACTACAGTTACAGGCAAGAACATGAATGACTCATAAACATAATGTTGAATAAAGAAAGCCAGACGCAAAAGAGTACATGCTCTTTAATTCCATTTATCCGAAGTTCAAAAACAGGCACGACTAATCTGTAGGGGTTAGATATCAGGATAGTGACTCCTTTGGGGGAAGTGGGAGAAGGCCTGGTAATATCTATTTCTTGATTCGGGTGGTGATTACAAGAAGAATTTGCCTTGTATTAATTCCTTAGGCAGTCTACTTGTGAATTGAGTACCTTTTTTGTATTTTAAAATTCAAGAAAAAAGTTCAAAAAATCCAGATGATCAGTAGGCCTATGAAAAGATACACAATCGAACTAGTAAATCAGAGGGATGAAATTTAAAATGACATAACCTTTTCTGTACATGATGCTGGCAGTTAAAAAAAACTGATAATGTCCAGTGTTGATGAGTATGATGGTGCCTATCTAAATTAGAAGAGTTTTAGGAGAGAGCCTTGATATTATTTACCAAAAATTGAATGTGCATGTCCTTTGGTCCATTCCTCGGAATATATCTTTTAGAAATACACATATGCACACAAATTTGTATACAAGAATGTGTGTTACAATGGTGCTAGAGCAGTAGGTAAAGAAACAGTAATACAGCTGTACAGTCTGGAAGGAATGTGGCTGTTAATGGGGGAAGCCGATATGTACCAACACAGGAAGAGCTACAGGGATTTACTTTTACATTGTTAAAGTAAAAGGGAAAAAAAAATCCCAGAACAGAACATGTTGCATGATCTTGTTTATGTATAAATGGCCTGAATGTAAACTTTAAAAACTCACAAAAAATGGAAAACAAAACTAAAATCTGGCGTGACTCATTTACTCAAATATCTCACAAAATAAACTCAGCTTCCCTCTTGAAACAGATTGCAGCGCAGGAGAACTCTCTGAGTCTCTCTCTGAAAGGACTGCCCCACAACAGGAAGGAGCTGTTTCTTTGTCCACAGCCGCCTCCTGGAAGAGCCTTGGCGCCTGCGAAATGCCAGCTCCCACACAGGCCTGAGCGGCAGCACAGCCAGTGTCTCCAGATCCTCCTGCTGCAGAGGTGCTTTCCAGTAATTAACGAATCCGCCTATAGGACGGGGCTGGGCTCCCGAGGACTGAGCGCTCCCTCCCCTCTGCCCCCTGCTCCTCTCTCTGGAATGCCAAGGCGTTCGTTCCCCAGAAATGGCTGTTCCTCAGCCCCTGCCCTCCCTCAGCTCCCAAATTCCGCTGGGCAAGATGAAGAGGGCCTTCAAGGCACCGTCCCGGCCTGTCTGTTCTCCAGGAAGAGTTACGCTGTTCTGTACTCTCCGGGCCCCACCTCCACCTATGTCCTCCTGGCCTAACCTTCTTCCTGCGGGCTGAGGAGGAACATGGCAACAGGCAGCGAGAGAAACATCCTACTACCGTCAATTTTGACTGCCGGTTTTTGCTCCAGGATCCTATGATCAACAGAAAAATGTACCGTCCTTTCTACTTCTTATTGTGCAAATAAAATAAATAGCAGACATAGTCTCTATTACATTATTTTCAAAACATTGGTGTCTGGAGCAAAGTTGCCCTGACTTTGGAATTTAATGAACCATTAAAATTCCAAAAATTTAGGGTGGCTGATTTTTATTTTGTGAAGTACAACCTGAACTGTTACACTGGCAGGGGAGATACTGTGATCACAGCAGTGGCTTTCCCAGGGCCGGGCTCACCCACCGCACTCCGGCTGTGCTGACCCCTGCCACGTCCCCAAATGTGGGGAACTCGACTGCATAACTTGTGGTCATGGGGGGGCTGTGTTCATGTTCTCCCCTGAAAAAATAATAAAAATAAAAAGCAACCTGAATGATTGTCACCATCATTTTAAATGTTTGGGCACCTTACCATGAGTGGTCACAATGATCTCAGACTTTAAAAACAGCACTTTAAGTTTAATACACTTAGATCTACAAAAATACACACATATTTCACATGGATTGGTGAACATTTCCTCACAGACGGGCACCGGTTCCCTTAGAAAGAACTGGCAGATATTAATCCTCAGTTTTCAAGCCTAGCCATGCCTGAGAAAGACAGGAAGGCCTTTTAAAAAATACCGATTCCAGGTTCCCAACCCGTATTTACTGCTTCAGTTGATTAGCCTCATCATGACTGGGGTATGTGTACTTCTTTTTGTTGCATATAAAATTAAGTTTTATCTTAGACGAGATCGGGTGCATTCAGGGTGGTATGGCCATAGACTAAGTTTTATTTTAAAAGGTTAAACTTTATACGTACCTTTAAAACATAAAATTTCAAAAGTATTAGGCAAGTCAGTCATACAAAGCTGTTAACAGCAGTAATTAAAGACATGGTAACATTTTACCGGTGCAAAACATCACGGAATTCAAACCACAACTTGGATCTTCAAGATTCAAGTGTTTTATTGCATGCAGTAAAATGTGGCCAGTTTTCGTTCTGTTTTGTTTTACAAATATTTAAGGTCTTTATTAACAGGTGCTTGCAGTTTGCTGACTTTGTTGGGAAAAAATCAAGTTGTAAACTTTTATTACAATTTTAAAATAAAGTTTTTAAAAATCTCAACTTTACCAGATATGAAACAATTAAAAAAACCTCTAAAGGTGTATTGAGAAAAACTAAACTTATTTAAAAGCAACAACAACAACAAAAAACACCACATTTGTCATTACCAAAAAGAGATGTCTTTAAATAAAAATAATAAAAACCCCATGCTGCATAGATAATGCAGATAGTTCTACTCATCTGGTCAACCGGCAAAAAGCAAGCACTGAAGGTCTTCACCTCCGATCTTTTGTTCACTTCTTATTGCTGGAATTTCATATTCCTTTCTCCTTGTTGGATGACTAAACCGGATGATGGCAGAGACAGTAAGCCAGCATTTATTCAGCCCTGCCCTGTTCAACCTCAGCAGCAGACAAATTCTCAGCTGGTGGATCCACTGCTTTTGTCTCTTTGCCATCTTGTGATTTAGGGTTTTCTGGGTGTCCCCGTCAGTAATTGAAGTTACCGTTGAGGTGGCTGCTGACCTTTGGTTTCAGCTCCTTGATTTCCTTATCTTCTTCATTGCCGTCCTCTCTGGGCTATCTTTGGCAAAGAGGGTCTCTGCGAAATGTGGTCTGTGGGCCCGATACATATTCTGTCTCACTGGTCTACCTTGCTCTCACGCACCCTGCTTGTCAGCACCCCCATCACTTCTCCCTGCACAGGAGGGCTGGCATGTTGTGGTCAAGCCCATGGGGTCTCTGCACATAGTAAGGTGGGAACTGTCGCCTGCGGTAGGGCCGGCGCCCTTGGGCCTGGCCTTCAGGAGCACTCTCTGATGCCTCACTCCCCCACTGTCACTCTTCTGGTAATTCTGCTGGTAATTGCGTGGAGGACCCCTGCAACGTGGACCATTACAGCATAACCTGTAATGGTTATGATCTGCTGCATATTTACTGCCTTGCACTGGAATCCACTGGAACTCCACCAGTGCCTGTAACATTTGCTGCCTCCGCACCCTTTTCTCCTTCAACAGCATCAAACTGCACAGTCTCTCCAGCTCCTACCCTGTGAAGGTACTTCCTGGGGTTATTCTTATGTATGGAAGTCTGGTGGACAAATACATCTTCCTTGGTGTCATTCCTGTTGATGAAACCATATCTGTTTCTTACACTGAACCATTTTAGTGTTCCCAAAACCTTCGTTGCAACGATCTTCTCGTCCCGCCAAGGTGAGGCTGCCCGCTGCTGCTCCCTGCACTGCTGCGCATGGTTGCAGTGATGGCGACTGGGGTCGGTTGCAGCAGTCGCAGCTCCCCCGTGGTGTGGTGGTAACCAGGTCAACGGCCGTGGGGCTGCTCGGGGCTCTCTGAGGGTCCGCTCTCTGCTCTTGCTACTGATCGAACTAAAATGTGGTCAGTTTTAACACAAATTTCCTCCTCTGGTTATCCTGTTCTCAATGAAGTCTTTCTTTGTCACCAGCATTTTACACGGTAGCATAGCTGGCCTGGGAGGCAGGTCCACAGTGGCTGTTCCAGTCTTCAGCCATCTTCACCTAGCCATTCTCGCCCCAGGCCATACTCCAGCTGCCCCTGAAAATCCCATGTTTTTTGTTAGCTTATACTGCTCCTTTAAAGTGATAGCAACCCACCAGAACACCACAATTTGGGTCTTCGCTGCTGCAGTGCAGATCATAATAAACGCCTTGTTCATAGAACCTGGAGCTGCCATAGCCTTCCTGTATAGCAACAGAGATGGGCCTCAGAGTCTTCATGAGGGACCACTGTTGCTGACGAATGTCAATGAAGCCACTGTCATTGCCAACAGAATTGTCAGGCTTGTGTTTGGAGGATCCAACCTTTGCATGATGTGGATAGGATTCCTCCAAGTCCAGGCCTGGCGGGACTTAACGCACTGGACGACATTATGCATTAGGCCACCACGGCAGCCCTCGTTGCCTTAAGACTGAGAGCCATCCACAAGGTCCCGCTCGCTCAGTGAACTAAGTTGGACAGTTTTCTGGAATATCTGTCTTTCAGGAGCACCGGATGCACTAGAAGCCCAAGAATCACAGTAGTTCTGACCCTTCACAGGAATTACATAGACTTCCTCTCTCCAGTCCACTGTTAGGGGAATTTCAGCTTCTTGTGCTTTTTTTTTTTTAGATTTTATTTATTTATTTTTAGACAGAGGGGAAAGGAAGGAGAGAGGGAGAGAAACATCAGTGTGTGGTTGCCCTACTGGGGACCGGGCCCACAACCCAGGTGTGTGCCCTGATTGGGAATCGAACCAGCAACACTTTGATTCACAGGCCACACTCAATCCACTGAGCCACACCAGCCAGGGCTGCTTTTGGTTTTGAAAAGCAGTCATCACCTGCCTGAATTCTCCCACTGGTCATGTCACCAAAGGCATTTGCTGCCTTGGGGACGCTCTGTTTCCCTAGATTGAATTGCTTTTTGTGCTGTTCAATCATTTTCATGTTCTTCTCCCACACTGCTCTCCTGCATCCTTCTTCATTCAAGCCACAAAGTTTCCTGTGTGTGATTCCACTGGTCCCATTGTGCATCTATACTGCCATGAAGTTTTGGAGCAGCTGAAGCTGTTCCTGAGCAAAAGGCACTCAGGAACAGCGAAAGATTCCTGTTTGAAAACCTGCGGTGCGTGCAGCTGCGCAGACGCAGTCCTCACCCTGAGCGGGTCCACAGGACTTCAAGCAAGACTGCAGCATGTGCATGTTTTTTAGAATGTTTTTGTACTGTGATAAAACACACATATGAAATTTACCACTTTAACTAACCATTTTAAGTGTACAGTTCTATGCCATTAAGTGCATTCGCCATTTGTGTCATCATCTCCACCATCCTGATCTCACACAGAAATCCTGCACCTGTTCAACGGTGACTTCCCCAGACTCCTGGCAACCTCTGCTCTACCTTCTGGGCACCTCGCATAGATGGAACCATAAAATATTTGTCCTTTCATGTTTGGCTTATTTCACTTAACATGATTTTTCAAGGTTTATTTATGTCATAGCATGTATTAGAATTTTATTCCTTTTTATAGCTAAATTATATACACACACACACACACACACACACAAAACATTTTGTTTATCCACTCATCTGTCGGTAGACCACTGGGTCATTCCTACCTTTTTGGCTATTGTGAATAATGCCACTATGAACATTGGTGTATAAGTATCTGTTTCAGTCCCTGTTTTGAATTTTTTTCTGTTTTCAATTTTTTAAATCCAAATGCCTCTTTGTAAAGTAAATCATGCTACCTGTTTGTTTTACAGTATGAATTTAAGCCTTCACTTGTTTAACGTCAGGTATGACTGCATTCTTGGTGGTTTCAGAACTTCACACGATTTCAGATATCATCCATTTGCTTCAGCATTTCTCCTACGTGTTCACCCTCCACCTTCAGGATGGACTGAACATACCTTGGTACATAGGTGCTGAGAGTAATAGTGGGTTTTGGAGGACTCAGCACCTTTTCCATCTTTTGCTGCTAATGGTCTTTTTTTGTAATAACCTGTTTGATGGCAGAGCCCAAAAGTCAAAATTGCTCAGGCATTAGCTGTAATTGTTTCTTCATTTCTCTCTCACTATCAGAAAGATCTGGGAACTGAGAATAAAAACTGCAAAGTACTTTATTCATCCTCTTCATGATACAGTCTGGTTTTTTTCTTGGCTTCCTCGTATTTGTCAGCTAAGTGCTCAACCATTTCTCATAGCCTTTTCCTCTCTCAAGATCTTCTAGTTTTTTCTTTTTTGGGTCACATAATAATGTGACCTTCCACTGAGTCATCTCCTTTGCCAAGTCCTATTTAAGAACGTACTGTTCTCTGGACACCTGGATGGCTCCGCTGTTGAGAGGAAGACATTCTTCGGGAGCCATATCTTTTTCAGATGATTTTTAAAAAATGCTAGATTTTCAACAGTATGTTGCAAAGTACTTCTAATGTGTTTTTCAAAGGAATTGTGGTTTTAGCCAGAATTTAGAGGGACTACTCTACTAATTCAACATTTTCTTGGGTATGAAGCAGGGGAGGAAATGCTGTATGTACTGTGCTTAGTAAAGGCCTTATGAGGCACTTGCAGGTACTGGTGGTGCAGATCATCTCCCAGGTACTGGTGGTGCAGATCATCTCAGGCCCAGAACCTTTGAATTGGAACTGGCTGCCTGCATGGCGGTGCTTCGTACAAAGGACATGTTCCACAGAGCATTTCTGTTCAGTAGCAAGTTCCCAGACTATCCTTATCTTCTTTATCTGATCCAAGACATTTTGGAAGTTTATAAATCCAA